ACACTCTTTTTACCTCCTCTTACACAGGGGTTCCTGAGCCCTGAAGGGCGGGATTTGATGGAAATATCCCATTTAGGGCTCAGTGTTCCAAGGCCTCTCACTCTCTGGATATTGTCTGGCTGTGGATCTCTGTATCTGTTCCCAGCTGCTGCAGGAAGAAGCTTCTCTGATGATGGTTGAGCAAGGCACTGATCTATGAGTATAGGATGTCATTAGGAGTCATTTTTTTATTGCTGACTTCTTTAGTAGAACAATAGTATATAGGTTCCTGGGCAATCTAGTTTCAGGTTTCTTGACCTACCGAATAGTGTTGCATATGGGTTCCATCTCATCGAGTGGGCCTTAAGTTAAATCAGATATTGGTTAGCTACTCCCACAAGCCTTGCAATCCCCATCAAAATTCCAATACAGCTCTTCACAGATCTTTAAAGGACAGTTTTCAGTTTCATAGAGGAACACATGCATAAACAAAAATCCTAGGATATTTGAAACAATCCTGAATAATAAAAGAACCTATGGAGGTATCTCCATCCCTGACCTCAAAGTGTACTGCAGAGCTATATCCATAAAAGTATTGGCAGGATATTGACACAAAAATAGACACACAGGTCAGTGGAATTGAACTGAACACCAAGACATAAACTTACACACAGAATGGACATCTGATTTTTGATAAAGAAGCCAGAAGTACACATTAGAAAAAAGACAGCATCTTCAACAAATGGTACTGGCCAAACTGGATGTCTGTCTGTAAAAGAATACAAATAGATCCATATTTATCACCCTGCACATAACTCAACTCCAAACGTATCAAAGACCTCAACATAAAACCATAGACCCTGAACCTAATAAAGTGTAAAATAGCCTTGAACTCATTGGCACAGGAAAATCTTTCTGAACAGAACACCTTCACTACAGGCATTAAGATCAATAGTTAATAAATGGAACCTCATGAAACTGAAAAGCTTCTGCAAGGCTAAGGACACCATCATTCAGACAAAGTGGCAGTCTACAGAATAGGAAAAGAGTTTTACTAACTACACATCCAGTAGAGGGCTAATATCCAAAATATATAAAGAACTCAAGAAACTAGATATCAAGAAAACAATTAACCCAATTAAAACATGGGGTACAGAGCTGGGTGGTGGCAGCACAGTACTTAAGAGGCAGAGGCAGGCAGATCTCTGTGAGTTCTACGCCAGCCTGGTCTACAGAGTGAGTTCCAGGACAGCCAGAACTATGCAGAGAAAAACTATCTCAAAAAATTTTTTTAAAAAAGGAGTATGTGTGTACAGATCCAACTCCTAAAAGAAGACACTCAAATGGCTGAGAAACACTTAAAGAAATGTTCAACATCCTTAGCCATCGTGGAACTAACTACAAATCAAAACTACTTTGAGATTTCATCTTACACATGTCAGGACGGCTAATATTAATGAAATAAGTGACAGCTCACACTAGTGAGGATCTAGAGCAGGGGGAACTCATCTAATGCTGGTGGGAGTGTGAACTTGTACAGCCAAGATAGAAATCAGTGTGGTTCCTCAGGAAGATGGGAATTGATCATCCTACCACAGAGACACCTGCTCAACCATGTTCACTGATGCTCTGTTCATAACAGCCAGAAACTGGAATGAACTTAGATTCCTCAACAGAACAATGAATAAAGAAAATGTGATACATTTACAGAATGAAATATTACTCAGCCATTAAAAAGATCACAAAATTTGCAGGTGAACGAATGGAACTTGAAAAAAAATCATCCTGTGTGAGGAAACCCAGAGAAATGATTATATATTCATGTATATGTGGATATTAGCTGTTAAGTCAATGATAACCATGCTAAAGTCTATAGGGCTACAGGGGTTAGATGTAAAGTGAGGGACTAGACAGGAGAGATAGATATCATTAGGAAAGAGAAATAGAAGAGGTAGTTATAGATGGATGGGGGCACTGGCACATGAGGGTCAAGTGGGGAGGAGGAAGGAAGAGGTAGATATGGGTAAGAATACAGGGAGAGACAGCTAAATTTAAGGGCCCTTTGAGGGGTATGATGGAAACAAAATTCAGTAGAAGCTTCCTAAAATATATACATATAGAAAGGCAATCTAAATAAAATAGCTAAATAATGGTGAAAGACAGAGCCCCAGTTGGGCATCTCTTGTCACCAAATAAAACTTCCAGTACCAGGAAAGAGTCACATCTAATTGAGTTGTTGGCCAAAGGGGACCAATGGGAATCCCCAAACAACACAGGCTGTTGCCAAGACTATAGGTTGCTCTCCATAAAATGATGTCAAGACCCTATTGCTGAGGACAACATCCACACAACTCATTTAACAGAGAAGTTGAGCTGGTACCTGCATAGAGCCTTTGCCGTTATGTGCCAGTAGTGTCTTTGGTATAGGAATGTGCTCTGTAGGAGACCAAAGGAGAAATGTAAACACCAAAAACCAGCCACAAACACTTTGATCTACAATGGAGTCCTGCCTGAAAGATATGCTAGGGCAATCTCTGTGCTCCCAAGAGCTCTGTCCTTGGAGACACATCCTGTCACCAAAAGCAAAGCTTAGAAATCTTATTGAAAATATTTTTTTTCACATAATATATTCTGACCATGGTTCCTCTCAATCCCTAGCTCCTCACCCCTACTCTCCACCTCCCCACCTTCCCAACTCCACACCTTTTTTTGCTCTCTCTCTTTAGAAAACAAACAGGCAAAACCAAAACCAAACAACAGCAAAAAAGCAGAACAAACCCAGCAACAACAACAAAAAAGAGGGAGAAAGCAAAAGCATGAGAAACACACACAAACACACACATACACACATCATAAAAACAAAATTGCAAACTATTATATTAAAAAGAAAAGAACAGTAAGGTTTAAAAAAAAATGTGCCCAAACAAAGCAATATGTAACAAAAATCTCCCAAACTACCCTCGAGTTTGTTTTGTTGTGGCCATCTACTGCTGGGCATGGGGCCTGCCCTTAACTGTGATTTATGTATCCAGTGAGCCTTCACTGAGACAACTAATTTCTCCTTTGCAAGTGTTGTCTGTTGCAGATAGCTCCTTGATTAGTGTCTTTGTTAGGGTTCCTATGGCTGTGAAGAGACACCACGACCATGACAATTCTTATAAAGAAAAACATTGAATTGTGGCAGCTTACAGTTCAGAGGTTCAGTCCATTATCATCATGGTGGGACATGGCAGCACCCAGGCAGACATGGCTTTGGAACTGAGAGTTCCCTTTGCAGGCAACAGGAAGTGAGCTGTCTCCACTGGGTGTGGCTTGAGCACTTATGAGCCCTCAAGACCCGCCTCCACAGTGACACACTTCCTCCAATAAGACCACACCCACTCCAACAAGGCCATACCTCCCATTAGTGCCACACCCTTTGGGGGCCATTTTCTTTCTAACCACCACAGTTAGGGACAGGATATCATGTTCACTTCTCCATTTCTGTTCCAGAACCCCACCTGGCTTGGACCCGTGCAGGTGCTGTTCATGCTGCCATGGTCTCTGTGTGGCAGTTCTGCCGTATCCGGAGGACAGTGTTCCCTGGGTGCCTTCCCTGCTCACTGGCTCTTCCAATCTTTCCTCTTCCACATAGCTCCCTGTACCCTGAGGGAGTGGTTAGGGGAAGACACCTCACCTAGGACCTAGTGCTGCAAAGTCTTCCACTCTCTGTGTGCTGTGCACTCTCTGTGTGCTGTGCACTCTCTGTGTGCTGTGCACTCTCTGTGGTCTCATCAGCTGCAAGAAGTTTCCCTGGTGACGACTGAGTGAGACACTGACTCGAGGGCACAGAAGAATGTCATCAGGAGTAATTTGACCGCCACGTTCATGTAGCAGTTCGATCGTATTTAGAAATCTTAATAAAGCCGAATCCAGTGGCCCCTGTGTTTTCCTTTTGTACGGTTCCCACAACTGTGTAGCTGTCCCAACTTGGATTTTACCGCAGGTGACCCTGGGAGACCTGTTGAGAATAAGATCGGTATACTAAGGTCACCTCCCGCTGGCTGCTGGGGGTGAGGGTGAAGGTCAGAAGCCAGGGCCTGCTGCTGTGATCGGGGCAGCGGAAGCAGGTGTCACTGGTGACAAAACATATGGCCTGCACTGCCCTTTGAGCCTGTGTGTCAGCCCCATCTGCCTCCTTCCTTTCCTGTTTCTGTCACCCTGTCACGTTTCCACTGGGATCTTCCTTCTCCCTAACTCACAGCCCTGGCTGGAGCATCTTGGGCGTCTGTTTCCATATTGTCACTTCTGCCTCTGTCTTCGCCTTCATGTGTCCCCTCTCTCACCTGCTTGCAAAGTAGACAACCATCTGCTCATTTCAGGTGTGGTGTGGTGTGTGGTGGCATCTCTGTTGTTTGCCTCCATTTCTGATGGTGTGGGCTACACAGCGGAATCTTGCTCATAGCAGCGAGGGTCTGAGACCCACACCATGCTCCTGAATCTACACTCTTCCTTCCATGGCTTGCTGCATGCAGGCAGGGGGATGGCTGCCTAGCAAGGTCTGGGATCCTAGAGCTCACACTGCCACTGATCCACAGAGAGGCTTAGACTCACGTGACCTAGTCCATTCCCTGAGTAAGGCTGGTACCCTTCCCAGTAGACAGTCAAGTGAGAGGAGCCGGCCCTTTCAGGAGCGGCCTGCTCTTTAGGAAAGTCTGTGCATTTTGCCTCAGTCTCCCCAACTGTCCGCTCTTCAGATTCAGGCTTTCAGGATACCTCTGAATTTTTCACAAATACCCTGATATGTTTCACAAAAGAGAATCTTGAAAAACAGCTCTCCAATTCAAGTAAGAAATAAAAACAAGACTCTCCAACTCTTCAGGCATTTATTGATCGCTTTTACTCTCTCCTTGATTCCAACACCCCGTCTCTCCCTATAAGGGAACATCACTCAAACAAAGCGTTAAGAAACTTCGATGGGCTGGATCTGTGGTTGTCGTGATAATTTGCGTCCTGGCTGAGGCCTTGTGTTCCAAGTCTTAGCCTGAATTACATATTTCCAGCGGCGTTACAAAGCCCTTAGAAAACAGGATTTATCATGGAAATGGTGACATGGCTTCACCCAGCCTGGAGTTCTTGGGGGCCGCAGTAATATACTACACAGAGAAATCAGATCATTAGTTGGTTATAAACAAAGGACAGAGGCAGTAAATTAGAAGAGGCATTTCGGCAGTTTCTTACGCATTTACGACAGCAAAATATGCAGCCCCATTTTATTCCTTGAGATAGTATTTAAGCATTTCAGATCTAACGTTCGTTTTCAGACATGGCCGCGCCGTGCATTTTGAAGCCTTGGCCATTCTCGATCTTCTGTAGTTTTATCCGTGGTATTTTCTTCCTTCTCTGTTGCTCATTAGAAAAATGTTAAAAATCCATTTTGGTCTGATTAATAATAAAGCTGATCACATGTAACCTAATTTTCATTCAGGGCTGCCCCTGTCTGTGGAGTCATATACAAAGTGACCTTTGAATCGCCAGTGGACTCATAAAGTACAATAAGCACCATTGTCCTGTCAAAAATTGAAGATGTTTTACATCATTACAAAATTTAATGTTCCATCTTTTCAAATGCACTCCTTTTCAAAGGCCACATTCCAATTGAAGCTCATTAAAATCAGACTCAAGTTTCCTGTGGTGGGGATGAGAGAGTTTCACAGGCTAGGGGAGGAAAATGGATCAGTCTTTTAAAACAGATATGGTTACACATGAGTTTTGAAAGGTACGGGGATGGGAGAGCCTCCACTAGCGGCCACAGTGAGGCTTTTGTACTGATAAAACCAATCACTGCCTCCCGGATCTTTTCCCCTCCCCCAGGCACACATATCCTGGATCCTATTTGTTTCTGAATGAATCAGTTTTCTAAATAAAATTGTTGTTTTAAAGCTCAGGGATGGAATCTGAAGAGGGTTTTTTTTTTTCTTGGTGGATGAGTTGGTAGGGGGTAAAAGCTGTAAAACCAGCCCAGCAATTTCATATATTTTAAAAAATATAATATATCTATGTTCCTCTGAGCTAGAGATGTGATATTTCCAAAAGTCACTGTAGGACTCTGGGGGAGTGGAAGAGTGGAATGGGAAGGCTGGCCACTTAAATGCTGCATTGCTCCCAGAAGTAGAGAGAACGTAGCTAAGACCTGTTTCAGTGGCCTAGTGGGGACCAGGGAAGATTTTTCAGGGCTCCCATCTCAAACTCTTTTTCTGAGTTTTTTGGTTTCTTGGCCAAAGATGTAATCGGGTTCTAGGTTTCGCTGGTTCATCCACCTCACATGGAGGGACTAGATTAACAGCGTTCTCCTCACTCTGTTCTCTGTGAGTGTAAAAGGCCCAGAAGACAAAGGCACACCCCCTCACACTTAGATAGATGAACATTTTCAAGGAACAGCTAGCTAGGTGGGACACACCTGTAACCTGTGCTCACAGGGAGGAAAAGGTCTTTGAGTTCAAGGTCAACCTAGGCAGCATAACTAAGTCCTTTCTGAAAATAAATAAATACATAAGGATAAAATCAGGGCTGGAGAGATGGTTTAGTGCTGGCTGCTCTTATGGAGGACCTGGTTCAGTTGTGAGCACCCACATTGGGCAGCCCACAGCCATCTGTAACTCCAGTTCCACTGACCCCCCCCCCATGCCCTCTTCTGGCCTCTCTGGGCACTGCATGCCGGTGCTTCACATACAGACAAGCAGGCACACACATACAAATATAAAATAAATTAAACCAGAAGAAATGTCAACTCTGGAAATTGCCTGCTTCCAAGCTCAGGAATCAATAACTCGTGACCTGACACTTTACATTAGGGAATAAACTTTATTATATTAATTATAATATATTAATAAAAATGGAGTTTTGCCATTTTTTTTCATGAGCTACAGAGAAGGAAGAAAATACCAGAAATAAAAACTACAGCAGGCCAGGAATGGCAAAGGCTTCAAAATGCACCATGACCACATCTGAAGATGTGTGTTTGATCTGAAATACTATCTCAAGGGAAGGAATGTGAGTTCCACCTGCCAGACAAGTGTATCATTCACTCGACTCTGGCACTCTGTCAGGAGCGGGCTGCCTGGGTCTGGCTGGCTCATCTGTGCCAAGCTCCAGCGGTATTGAGAACTCAGTAGAAGTGACATTGCCACCCAGTTGTGCCTTTTGTAGCTGTGTGACCTGGTGTAGGTCACCTATCTCTGCTGGGCATCAGAACCTTCCAAGGGCAATGGTGCAGGTGCTCCCTGACTTCTGCTAAAATTGCATCCCCATAAACCCATAGTATGTTAAAAATGTCATGGAGAGTGGGGTGTGGTGCCACAGACTTGTAACATACCTGCTATTTGGGAGGCCAAGGTAAGAGGACAGTAAGCTTAAGGGCTGTCTAGGTAACTTAATAAGACCCTAAGTTAAAATAAGACAAAAAATAACCCTGCTTGCATAGCTCAGGAGTAGAGAATGCTTTGCATACCTCTAAATCCATTTTAGGGAATGGGAGTGTGGCTGGGTAGTGGAGTGCCTACCTAGAATCCCCGAATGAGGGGCTCAGATGTGATTCAATGGTAGAGCCCCTGCCTAGAATCCCCCAGTGGAGGGCCTGTGGCTGTGGCTCAGTGATAGGCTGCTTGCCTGGAATGAATAAGGCCCTGGGTTCAATCTGTAGGACCAGAGAAAAAGAAAGATGAATATTATTGAAATACATTTCATAAATATAGCTGTTATTCATCTTCTTCACCACTGTGGCAAACACTGATATAGCAACTTACACGGAAAAGAAGGTGTATTTGTGTTCATGAGTTCGGACGCTCACTCCACTTTGGAGGATAGGGCATGGCAGAGCTGAACAGTTCACATCATGGCAACCAGGAACTCCATCCTCTGTTCCATCCATCGTTCTTCTATTGTCTGTGCCTCTGGCCCATTGGGTGGCACTGCCCACATTCAGGGTGAGTCTCCCCCACTCAGACGATCCTCTTCGGAGGACACATCTTCACAGGCGTCTCCTGAGGTGTGCCTCAACCACTTAGCTCATTCCAAACACTGTGAAGCTGACAGGGAAGATCAACAGTAATCATACCTCAAAGTGTGCCCAAAGTGCTGACATTAGGCTACAGCTGGGCCTGAGCTGTGAATGCCAAGCCTGTGTTACGACAGAGGCCTAGACAGTTGTGGTGGTGTGTTGAGTGTCTGAGATTTGTTGCTTCCTCTTCATGACTGCATGACTGATCAGAAACTAAGGTCTTTCCTCTCAAGACACTGTCAGAAGCAGAGTGCTAGCCACACACACACGTGATCAAAATTCATAGTGGAAGATTCAACTGCTGGAGCTCTTGCTTATGTATGATTATAGATTTCAGAAATGTTATATTGAACCATCATACATCATGGGACATCTGAAGTATGGACTTGGCATGACTGTATAAGATTATGTATATTAAGGGTTTAGCCCCCTATCTGGGACATATTTCTCTACCTCAGCCTGTGGTTGAAGTGATATTAGTTGTAACTAATCCAGAAAACCAACAGCTAACTTACCTCCTTAGTGAATATTAGCTTGGCTAGAGAGCTAAAGCAGTGGTTAGCCCCTCATCCAGTAACCAGCATTTAGCATAGGGTGGTTATAATAGAGATGTAGCAGTTAGCTACTACTGTGTAACAAGTACCCCCAAACTAAGTAGTTAAAATAACAGAAATTTATTCCCATCCTCCAAAACACATGGGTTAGTGGGTGAGTCTGCAGATCCAAACTGGGCTCAGCTGACTTTAATTGGATTTATTCATGCCTCTGTTGGTAACTAGAAGGTCAATGGAACTGGTTGGCCTAGGGCGGCTGTGGCTGGGGATGAATAGTCCTGTACCATGTGGCCCCTCATCCTCCAGAAGGTTATCCTGCAATAGTTCTCATCTCAGAAGCTCCTTCAAGAGAATCAATAAGAATGCCTGAGCTCCATTGTGTTTGTATTGTTAACTACCCTCCTATTGGCCAAAATCGCACAGCCACCCCTGGGTCCGGTGAGAGAAGGGACTAATAAAGGGCATGTGTGGAGAGAGGCATGGAGCTTCGAGTCGCCTGCATAGTGAGCATCACTCTCCACATCCCCAAAGCTGTAGTCATGGCTGAGGAGAGGGCTCAGCAGGCAAGAGTACTCGCTGTGTAAGGATGAAATCAAATCACTAGCACCCACGTTTATATTCATGCTTCAGTTCCTACAGTTAGTCAATGATGACCTGGGTTCTCTTAGTAGTGTTTTCTTTGACTGACCTCGGGGAAGCCTCTGTTTCTCCCGGGGGCCATGACAAGGTGGCACTAGGTTATCCCAGGGGCCCCAACAACATTGACCATGCAGGAACTATTGGAAGGAGATTCATTTCACAGAGAATTGTTAAGGCAGAGGGGAGTGTCGAGGGAGGGGTATCAACACAAGTTGGCACGACAGTGGGTGCTGGTGTGGGGAAAATGGGACTCAGTGGATCCTGAAGACCCCAAAAGTGACCCGAGGGTTGACTGCAGTGGTGGGGAGTCTCGAGAAAAGAGGAGTCAACACACTGCTCTGCACAGTGGTTTCCTCTGAGATGCAATGGAGACTGGGTGTAGTGTGTACCTGCATGCTTCATGTCCTGCTACAGCTCATCCCACATCCCAAGGAACAGGCTGTACACGGAGCTCACAGGAACGGGGCTGGGAGCAAGTCTGTTCCCCAGGCAGAACTTTGAGATGCAGCCCACACATGTACGCAAGAGGTTCCCAACAGGTAAAGGAACTCTAGTCTGCCACTCCATCAGGGGTCCAGCCAGACAACACCGTTTAGCTCCTGCGTTATTTACACTCAGTCCCTCCCCTATGAGGGATCTGTGGTAAGAAAGCTGCCAGCGAAGGTGCTGTGTGATCGGGCTGGGTGTGATGAAAATGTGTCTCCTGCTATCTCCTGCCAGTGGGATTGTTTTTTCCTGTAGTGTTAACTTTACCGGTGATGAAATAAAAGTGTGTTAATGTCTCTGCATGTGGATATCCATTTATGCAAAGTGAAGTTCCAGGAAAGCCTTGCAGCTTGTCGTGGGCCAGCCCATGACCAGCTTTCTTTTCCTGTTTTATGAAACCATTTCTGGTCCACACAGGTAATGTTCTGAGTGCTCACACCCTTCAGCATACACCTTGTAGATACTTGTATCTGGGGGATGGTGTTATTCTTTACTGCCTGAGGCCATCTTTTCATTTAGATCAAAATTACCTATTGCAGCTTGGATAGGATATATCTTCCCACAAAGGTGCATGAACTGAACGTTTGGTGCCCAGCTGGTGGATGCAGTCCTTGGGCGGTGAATGGATCAGGGAGGCTCCTCCTTCCTCAAAGGATTAAGCCATTGATGGAGCAATGATCTGATGGCCTTACTGCAAAGCAGCAGGAACCAGGAGACAGAGGGCAGGTGCTTGACAAGATTGCCTATTGGTGGCAACTCGAGAGCACTAATTTGGGCGCCGACAGTCAGTAGATCCTAAGAATATTAATTGGGAATTTGGAAGAAGCCTCCTTGTTCACAAGAACTATTTAGCCCAGGGTGGAATGGGTGTTACCAAGCCTTCCATGAATCTAGAATCAACATATTACCCACCCCAAGCTAACCACAGCCTCTCTGTCGTAAGCAGTCCACTTTCATTGCTAACTATGTTACGCTCTTCTCATCTGCACTGGGGCACTGTCCTGTCTCCCGTGAGATGCAGACTACTCTAGATTCACTTCCTGTGTTCTCCCCCCCCCCCCCCCGCCATGCCATCTTCCAACACCTATGTGGAGCCTCACATCCCCCAGTGAGCCTTTTATGATGAATCTAGGTAAACTGAACTTCCTCTCTATAGATGACTTACAAAGGTTCTCTGATCTGCAGGACACTGCTCGACAGCACAAACGTCAACATTAGCATTTGCAGCCATACAGAGTGTGGGAAGTGCTTGGGCTGTGGTCACCATTTATTCGAGAAGTAGGCACTGGGCTCCCTCATAGTAGTCAGCAGGACAAGATCCCACACCCTCAACATGCTTGTGTCTTTGTGGGTCTTGAATTTAGTTAGCTTGGAGTCCAGCATTCCTGGACATGTCTTGTAATAATAGCAACATGCCTTGGGGCGATTGTTAAAATCTTTTCAAGACTGAGTTAAATGCTACATAACAGGGTTATTCCGAGGGAGAAACAAGACTCAAATGCACTGACCCAGCATTGTGCTCAAGTTCAGTCAGCTTGACCATGCCCTACTTGGCTCGGTTCTGTCCCTGGGTACAAAAGATTCTGTCAGGTAGGGAGGCTGCTCGTCTATAGAGATGGGAAGGAAGTTGGGCCCTCCACAGCTGGGATTTGGTAGGGCATGGGAGGAGAGGACCCCTCACCTCACATCCTGTAGTGTACTCGTGGTCACACAGGACTTTCCAAGCTCCTGACTCTGACGTTTCAGGACTGAAACTGAAATTCAGAACCAACTGCACAGACATGGCTGAGAAGAATAACTGGGAAAAAAACCTCCTTCCCCACACACCTTTGAGAGGCTACAGCTAGCTCAAGGTGTGAATCAATGCTAACAGTGCTTATTCTGCAGGCAGGAAGACCCGGGTTCAATGCCCAACATCACAAAAAAACAAACCCAAATAGACAGCAAACCACTTTTGATTATCAATCCAAGAAACCACCCAGTTCCCATGCTTTCTCTTCCTGTCACTTGGCACCATTTCAAGGACTAAGTATCACCTGTAGAAAAGCTCTCCTGGCCAGCCACCTTCTAGAGGACAGTCATAAACTGGTGAGTTATTTGCAGTCCCCCAAGAAACAACTGTGCCTTCTGGAAATCAATTCTATTTGAACACAGCTGGCCTGCTTTTCTCCTCCCTGTAAAATACTGTGTGGATGAAGAGGACCCTGGGTGTCTCCTCAGCATTTCATATGCAGTATTATAGTCCAAGGGACATTTGTCAACATTATATAATAATCTATGATCAAAACACTAAATCCTGTCAACTCCCAGAGTCACCTGCACTCTAACTTTACAACTGAAACTCATTTAAAAGTAAATGAAAGTCACACGGATGAGATTCAATTAAAATTAATTTAAGGTATGGAAAAAAATGATTCACCGTGATATAAATCTGCACACTGTTATTGCCTACTGTATCTTATCCTATGTGGGGCTCTCCCACAACAACAGGGCAGGCTTACAGCTAGCGAAGGGCACACCGTGTGCAAACCATGGGTGCTGGGCCATGTGTGTCTTGGGAAAGGTTTTGTGGAGCTGGTAATCAAATTTAGGTCTTGTTTTGTAGGCAAGAGTTCTACCATCGACACCCACACTCATAGGCCTTGACTTTGTGAGGTAGGGTCTCACATAGACCTCGAACTCCTGACTCTTCTTCCTCTGTCTCCTGTATGCTAAGATTGCAGGTGCTTGCTTCTACACCCAGGCTTGAGAAAAGAGCGGAAGGGGCAGAGGGTATGTTTTTGTTTTTAGTCTTTGCCCCCTTGCTAATCCTGAAGCATCCATCCATTTCTATCAGCCCTAGTTTTCTGGACAGAGACGTAACAGAAATCCAATTTAAAATCTTTCTTTCTTTTTTTTTCTTTCCAACTTTTGAGTATGCATGCAATTTCTCCTGATAGCAGGATCTCAGCAGAGAAATTAACTTCAATAATCTATGGATTACAAGACGTATCGAGCCTTCAAAGCAACCCAGTGTTAGATCTATTCTCAGAAGAGTTTAAATGACATTAATAGTTAACAAGTGATGGGATGCATTTTCCCAGCGCAGTCAGGATCTGTGGGTGCCTCCTACCCACCCACCCCACCCCCATTTTCCAGGCCTTTCAGTTATGACAAGTGGCTTCTTCTCCACTTCCTGTGTGGCTCCTCAGGCGCTCACCTTCAGGGATGCCTGGCCTCAGTTTCCGGGCTCAGTAGCCATAGCAGGCACAAGGTGATAAGAGAGGACTTCTTCACTGTCCTGGGAAGCACCTCCCACATCCTGTTACTCACACCCTTGATTGTTGA